TGCTTTTAGCCCCCTACCTGCAAAAGTTATCACTCACTTTCACCTGCTTCAGGGTAATATATTGCAGCTTAACAGTCCTTAGTGCTGCATTAACATTTTTTCTTTGTTAATTTGTTTGTGTAATTCCACCAATAAGACACTGTTTTTGTCTTAGGGCAACAATGATCAATCACCATACTGTATCAATGGAGGTGCAGTGTTGTCGGTCTAGGAAATATGGACAACCTCCCCTTTATTCTTCTTAGCATAGGGGGAGGTGGTTTGTAATCCACAGAGGAACAATGTGACTGATAACAGTGCAGTACGGGCACATGACACAGGAAGTTATAAGCTCACAAGATTTCTGGCAGATTCAACAAACAATGTTTGCATTTCATAAATAAATACACTGCTCAAAAAAATTAAAGGAACACTTTGAAAACACATCAGATCTCAATAGGGAAAAATATCATGCTGGATATCTATACTGATATGGACTGGGTTAAAGTGTTAGGAAAATAAGGATGCCCCATCATTTGATGGAAATGAAAATGATCAACCTACAGAGGACTGAATTCAAAGACATCCTGAAAATTAAAGTGAAAAAATGATGCAGCAGGCTAGTCCATTTTGCTGAAATTTCATTGCAACTCAAAATAGTACTCAGTAGTTTGTATGGCCCCCGTGTGCTTGTATGCATGGCTGACAACATCGGGGCATGCTCCTAATGAGATGGTGGATGGTGTCCTGGGGTATTTCCTCCCAGATTTGGACCAAGGCATCCCTGAGCTCCTGGACAGTCTGAGGTGCAACCTGGCAGTGTTGGATGGACCGAAACATGATATCCCAGAGTGTTCTATTGGATGTAGTCAGGGGGGCTATTCAATGGTATCAATTCCTTCATCCTCCAAAAACTGCCTGCATATTCTCACCACATGAGGCCAAGCATTGTCATGCACCAGGAGGAACCCAGGACCCACTGCACCAGTGTAGGGTCTGACAATGGGTCCAAGGATTTCAGGGTGCCATTGTCTAGCCTGTAAAGGTCTATGCGTCCCTCCATGGATATGCCTCCCCAGACCATCACTGACCCACCACCAAAACAGTCATGCTGAACGATGTTACAAGCAGCATAACATTCTCCAGACCATTTCACACCTGTCACATGTTTTCAGGGTGAACCTACTCTCATCTGTGAAAAGCACATGGTGCCAGTGACTGACCTGCCAATTCTGGTGTTCAGTGGCAATTGACAATCAAGCTCTATGGTGCAAGGCAGTGAAGCACAGGACCCAGTAGAGGATGTCAGGCCCTCAGGCCACCCTCATTAAGTCTGTTTCTGATTGTTTGGTCAGACACATTCACACCAGTGGCCTTCTGGAGGTAATTTTGTAGGGCTCCTGCAGTGCTCATTTAGTCCCTCCTTGCACAAAGGAGCAAATACCGGTCCTGGGTTAAGGACCTTCTATGGCCCTGTCCAGCTCTCTTAGAGTAACTGCCTTTCTCCTGGAATCTCCTCCATGTTCTTGAGACTGTGCTGGGAGACACAGCAAACCTTCTGGCAATGGCACATATTGACATGCCATCCTGGAGAATTTGGACTGCCTGTGCAACCTCTGTAGGGTTCAGGTATTGCCTCATGCTACCAGTAGTGACACTGACCCTAGCCAAATGCAAAACTAGTGAAAAACAGTCAGAAAAGATGAGTAGGGAAAAAATGTCAGTGGCCTCTACCTGTAAAACCATTCCTGTTTTGGGGGTCATCTTCTTTAACAACAAAGCAACTGAAACTGATTAACAACCCCCTCTGCTACTTAACTTACCAGATCAATATCCCAGGAGTTTAATTGACTTGATGCTATACTCTGATTAAAAAGTGTTCCTTTAATTTGTTTGAGCAGTGTATGATAAAACCCTTTAATGATATTTAAAGGAAGCAAATATAATACATTTATTGTTAGATATCTCTGAGACATGCATTTCTTGAATCCCTTGCTTACTTCTCTGGTTCACAAGTGGATCAGGTGCATTACACAGGAAACAGTCCAGGAAGAGGCTGCACATTGGTGATGTCACTCCATGAAAGTTTTTTACCCAATCAATCCCCAACTATTGCATTCAACAAGCTAGATCATAGAATAAACTTTTATGGAGTGACATCCTATGTTTGTGGCCTCTTTCTAGACTGTTACTACAAGTTCACAGTTAGGACCTACATACTCATTAAACATTGATTTAACACTTAATGATCTTCCACTAAATCATGAGGCTTCTCTTGTCTTTTCTACTTTTCTTGTGGACATTTGCTCTCCCAGTCACTAGTCATAGTAGAAGTAATAGCCCAACTAAGTTAGAAAAACTTTTAAGATTCATTCACACCTTTGCAGGTGTGATAGTGTGTGTTCATTTTTGCTTGTTTAGGTAGATTGCACTATAACATATGGTGAAACAGCATCATGTATTGTGGTACAAGTTTGTGTTTGTTGACTGGTTTGGAATGCTATTAACAATAAATGGCACCTCAGTACACCTGCCAGAAGTTAGTGCCTTTTCATGTACTGCAGGAATGCTTGCCACATTGGACATCTTCCTGCACTGCATAAGTGTGAAAGAAGCCTTAACAGACTGTCTATAATAGACTGTCTAAAAAGTACCAGCTTTTTTATTTTCTGGCATTGCCTCAAAACTATTTCTAAAAAGGTCCTTTCAACTTTAAACCCATTTTAAAAATAATTAGGATTAGATGTCAAGTGTAAACTTTTTGTCTTTTTTTCCTCATATAATGAACAATATCAATAAAACCCATCTAGTCACAAGTGTTTTCCAGAAGGAACTTTATATTCATACTTTGCTGTGTGAGTTTTTTTTTTATCCTGTTAAGGGCTATTAATTTTTATGGTCAATGCACTACAGTTATACTTTATTAGACTGTGCCAGTTCATAAAAAACAATGAACTGCTCAACCACTCATACCTGAATATGTTTCAGATTCTAAATGCTAATACATAAAAGCTAGCTTAAAGAATTTGTTTTCAATCATCGCAGCTGCATAACATCATCTGCATGCCAGATTGTGCAAAGCAATTTTATTATCAAAGGATTAAAAATATATATATTTTTTACTTTATATGCACTTCTAAGTTCAAATAATCAATAACTGCATTAGTTTTTATTTACCCAGTAAAATGTTCAAAACTAAGAAAAAACTATTTATACCAGCAAACAAGGGACTATTTTATGCTCAAGAAAAGGTCCAGAACAGTTGGAAGCAGCTTCCCTAATACTGAGGAGTCAATTAAAGCCAATATTATCCCTGAAAAAAACAACACCTGCCTTAGGTTTACCTTCACTATTACCTCCAATGCATTTGGATGACATTTTACTGAAATGTCCTGATTCTAGCTTAAATTTTTATTAAAGTATACTGTAACAATCAATCTAAAGTGTACAATCTAAAGTGATCAAGTCACTTGTTTTTATTACTAGTTAATGTGGCTACCAGTCATAATAACATCACATATACTAAGAAAATGAGAACTGGGAAAAATAGATTTTTGATTTCTGTGGTGTACAGAATGCACTGGGCATAGTCAAAAAAGAGGTTGGTGCAATATTCCGTAGGGTACACAGTTCCTGCAAATTCTACAGCTCTTTAACATACAGCAGAATGCTTGAAGGCTTAGAAACAAAACAATAAAAGAAGAGAGAGCACAGCAATCTTGTGCAGTAAAACACAACCTTTAATAAATAGGAATTAAAAACTGCAACCAATGCACTCACATGTACTCAGAGAAAGGGGCACAGTGTACATGGCCAGGTGATGAGATGTATGATCAAATTCCTGGGCCAGAGGCAATACTGTAGTAGTGTTGTATTCCTCCTTATTCTCATCTGGGATAATTATTAAACTGGACAGAGGTAGTAGTCAAAACTGGACCCATACTGTGCTCCATGCTCACGCACAACCTGGAGTTATGTTATACATCCTCCTGATGCTTCTCAAAGGGTTAAAGCTAATATAAAGAGACACAGTCAACTTGTACACAGTAGGCAAAGGGACATTCTCTGCATGTATCATTCTTCAACCTCTATACGTATATCCATCTTACCTATTTTTTCTTGCATCTACCTTTTCCTCTGCAACTGGTGCTAAAATTGGCTTTGTTGGAAAGGCCGAGGAGCCGTGTCATCACTCCCCTGATCTTCAGATAGTGCTCAGGTCTAATGATTGGCTGCCTGGTCTGGGAGCCAGTTCCCCCATACCTGGAAGCACAAAGCTGTCTTACTGACTGCGAAGGAGCCAGAAGCTGTGAGAGAGAGAGCATGTAAGGTGTTTATAAGGGGGTCAGGGGACAATAATTTCAGAGACACCATGGCTTTCCTCTGAATCAGCAAGGTGACAATGGCCCTGATTTAGTACAACAGTTTAGTATATCTAACATGTTTAACCACTTGTCTACCGGTCACTTTCACCCCCCTTCCTGCCCAGGCCAATTATCAGCTTTCAGCGCTGTGGCACTTTGAATGACAATTGCGTGGTCATGCAACACTGTACTCATATGAAATGTTTTTTTTTTTTGTTTTGAGACAGATAGATTTCGATCTTTTGGTGGCATTTAATCACCTCTGGGATTTTTTATTTTTTTGCTAAATAAACCAACAACAACTGAACATTTTGAAAAAAAAAAGTTTTTTTTCTTAATTTCTGTTATAAAATTTTGTAAATGAGTCATTTTTTTCCTTCACTGATGTGTGCTAATGAGGCTTCAGTGATGGGCACTGATAGGCTGCACTGATGGGCACTGATTGACAGCACTGATGGGCACTGATGAGGAGGCACTGATGGGCATTGACAGGCGTCACTGGTGGGCATTGAAAGACATCACTGATGGGTCCTGAAAAGCAGTACTCATATATGGCACTGGTAGGCAGCACTGACCGGCACTGATAGGCGGCACGGACGGACACTGTTAGGTGGCACTGACTGGAACTGTTAGGCGGCACTGATAGCCGGCACTGACTGGCACTGATAGGTGGCACTGATTGGCAGCACTCAGGCGACACTGACTGGCAGTGATAGTTGGCACTGAAAGGCAGCTCAGATGGGCACTGATATGTGGCATTGATGTGCACTGGTAAGCACTGATATGTGGCATTGATGTGCACTGACAGTTGGCATTGATGGACACTGACAGGTGGCACTGATGGGGCTACACTGATCATCAGGGCACTGATCATCAGTGCCCTGACAATCAGTGTAGATGTCCCCTCTGAGGAATGCCAATTACCGGCTCTCCTCTCCTCAAGAGTTGTCAGTGTGACAGCTCGTGAGGAGAGGAATGCCGATAACCAGCATTTCCTTATTTACATGTGATCAGCTGTGATTGGGCACAGCTGATCACATGACAGAGCCAAAGTCATCGACTCTTTCTGCTGATCGGAGATCTGATCGCTGTGCTGCATATGACGTCCTCCCAGAACGAGAGAACCACCGCCGTCCATCATTTCCTTATACTGTATGGCTGGCGGGAGGGCGGTTAAGAAGAAAAAAACCCACAGATGCGAGAAACCACAGACAGGCAGTAACAATATTGTTGGGACACAATCTATTTGTAAATTTGGAAGCCTGTGCAGCAATAGTGTGCTCCAAACTTTTGTTAAAGAAGTAATAAACCCAAAATCAAATATATATTATATTGCAGCTTAGTGCAGCTGCTATTGGCTGAAAATGGGTCAGAGGACTAAGGAGTGAACTGCACTCCTGTGATCCATAGGAGTAGTACAGCCAAAAAAGGTTTGGATATACCTCTTCTTTATTAAAGCTTTGTCATATGTATTTGTTTGATATTAATATTTTATAATTGTGATGTATCCAGAATAATCTACATTAATATTACCTTTTCTTTACCATTTATCCTACTTTGGATGCAGCTGGATCTGATCACCAAAGTGTGTGTAACTGACTTTTAAATGTAAGTGAAAGGCTGGCTGTCTACTGTGAAAGATTGCTGGAGAAGGGGATGCTGTCCAATGACTATCCACATTTGGATAATTACACAACAGGAAACTCCCAGACCATTGAGCCTGGGCTGCAAAATTGGTACCCAACACATACAGGGAATGACGGTGCTCTTCAGTGAAAAAACTTAGAGAACATCATAGTGACATGCAGCAACTCATGACAGTGGTCCAGCAACAAATAGCAGCAAAATCCTCCTACACCGTGCAAGGTTGCATGCAACAGATCTCCAGTATCTGTAGCCTGTACCATGTAATATTGTAACAAAACAAAATATTTATGTTTTTCAAATCTGAAGTGTGAAGATACAATTCCAACACCAGAAGACCACCAAGACACTGGACATAAAGCCAAAAGTTCTGATCGAATGGGAAAAATCTGACAGTTGTACAGAAGTTGATCTAGGGTTGTACAGAAGTCATTCAGTAGCAGGGGCGGACTGACCATTTGGAAACTCGGGCACTGTCTGAGGGCCCAGGGTCAGTAGGGGGCCCCATGAGATGCCCCTGGTACCTTTTTCATAGGCTTTTTTTGACTTTGGGCAAGGACACAGGGGCCCTATGAGTTGTCAGTCCGCCCCTGTTCAGTAGAACAACGTCTGTACAATGTCCCTGCCCTTACATGAATCAAAATGTGGCCAGCCCCTGCTTATCCAGCAGAATTTTGATCCATAAAATCAAAAAAGATAGCAAGCGCTTGGGGGTTGGAGCAGCTAGCACTAAAAATGTTGAATTTTGATCCATGTATGACCTGCTTTAATCACTACTAGTAAGCCTGTAACTAAAATTCATAATTCTGCATTACACTATTTGACAGGGCCTCCCCATGACCTCTCTGTGTGCCATTTGGCAGTGTCAATTGGGACAATATTGTTATTGATCTAAAAGAGTCTAGCCAATTTATTTTCCTTATTTTGGGATGAAGTGGGCTAAGTATTAGATCCCCCGTCTTTTTCTTTACTACAGTGTGGAGCTCTGTTAGAGAGATTTTACTTCAATACCTTTCCCATGGACAACATTTTAATAGACAGCGAGGTGAAAGCTACAATAACAAACACAGATAGAAATACAAACAGTTTTCTTTCCAAGAGTAGGGGTAATATAAAACCAGTGTGCAAGGTTTTTGGTTTGGTTTCTGTGTGTGTTCCTGTTGCAGATTTTTACTTTGGTAAAAAAAAGAAGTGAGAGAAGATCTGACTAACACAGCCCAAGATTGCATTAGAAACTGGACAGGAGTTTGAACAGTGTTTCACTCTTTAAAAGGTGGCTACTGTTGCAGAATGACAAACATCAAATAACTCTTCAGCTTAGGAGAGATTTGTTAACCCCCAGGAAGACTGTGTTTGGTTTACAGGGTCATTTTCAGAATGATGAAAAGGTTGACCAGAATCTCTGAAGGCAATACATTTTTTCACAGATGGAGGGAAGATAGGGAGAACAGGGACAGGAAACAGGATGACCCATAAGACTATCATGAACATTTTAGCTTTATGTGTACGTTCTGAGGAATGAGGGTGCTTTTACATATAAATTATTATTATTATTATTTTTACACTTTTATGTTTGTTTTTCTTGTTCCTCCATTGTGATAGCTTTAGGCAGTGACAGGAACTCTTTATGGAGACATCAGGGATTTGATGTCTCCCTTGCCTTTCAAAGCAGCTGATCCTGTTTGAATAGTTGCTTTCCTGACTGTAGCAGTCAGGAAATGATGGCTCTAAAACTGAAAGTGACTAAATCCTCATTGCTTCTGCGCTAATTCATCACAGAAGAGATAAGGGAATGGATGCTCCTCCTTCACCTCTGTGGGCAGCAGTTTATTGTGGTCCCAGGTTCTCAGCTGAACTCATGATCTTGAATAGGAGCCTAAAGCCCACATTACATCCCTCCTACAGGCTATCTATACCTTAGAGCATTGTTGTCAAACTGGTGGCCCTCCAGCTGTTGCCAAACTACAAGTCCTATGAGGCATTGCAAGATTGGCAGTTACAAGCATGACTCCCAAAGGCAGAGGCATGATGGGACTTGTAGTTTCATAACAGCTGGAGGGCCGCCAGTTTGACACCCCTGTCTTAGAGCAATTACATAAACAATTACATAATCACCAAACCATGCATGTTTTTGAACTAGGACATAAAATGTGTATTCACTATAAAATTGGTAATAAACTTGGTAAGCTCTTGGCAATGGTATTAAGTGATATTTAAGCTAGTCAGGTAGATATTTTACCACATACCACAAAATAGGACATAAATATTAAAAATATGCATACAATTCAGCACTATAAATTTTAGCATTAACACTAAATCTTAAATGATAAATACATCTCCAAATAAAAATAAAATCAAATAAAATTAAAATAAAATTAAAATAAATACAATTGCTGCAATTATTTCATACTATTAGTCTTTCCAGTATACAGTATGTTGAGTGCAAAGTATGTAGAAACAAACTGCCTCTTTCACACATGCAAAAAAAACACTAAACAGTTCACAGTTCTTTCAAAAAAGTCCAATCTTCCACATACTGTACAGTGCTCAGTGTGCTGTGCTCTCACTCCACTTTATAAAGTGCTCAGTTTGTGCTCAGTGACCCCTTCCCATCCAGAGATCACTTACCATCTCAATTTGCCTCTATCTTAGCAGACTGGCATCTACGGCTTATGCAATTCCATGGCCATTGGCGGGCCTTACAGCATTTTTTTTTGTTTGTTTGTCTGTATGTTCACACAATGCTTTTCACTAGTTCCATTTTTTGGAAGTAATATGATATATAGACCATCGACTAAAGACTACTAAGTGAAATCTAAAGCAGAACTATACTCAGCTTCTATCCAGTGCTACTGTCTCCCTGAGCTCTTCTGCATTTAAGTTCTGTCTATTCCCCAAAAGTTTTTTTCTTACTTAACGTTCCACTTTAAGTGTGAAAGTTTAACTAATTTTTTTTATTTTTATTTTTTCTAAATTAAGATTAATAATAATTTATGTATGGATTGCTGTCTGTGTCCCTCTTACGCAGTCTGGCTTTCAATACTCTGCACTTTGCTTACTAAGTAACTCAGAATATCATCATTTTTGGAAGATGTTTGCACAGAGAAACTACTTTAGATGTATCAATATACAAAATAATGTAAATACGAAGTAAAAAATAAACACCAAAATAGAAGGAGGTAATACACAACATATGTTAAATAATGTAAACCTTTTTTCCAAAATGAAATGCAAACTTTAATCATTCACAAACAAAGAAAATGTGGAAAGTGTGGAATCAGTTATATCATTAGCATTTGACAAAGCATGTAAATCTCTAGCTGTTCTTAGTCCTGAATGTGTAGTTTGTCTTAATGGCATCTTTAAAAATTGAATTTAAAGCAAAGTATCTTTTTCCTTGATTGACGGACATTTTGCCTGCAATCATGCATATGTGACTCTTCTTATTTATTATCAAAACATCTGAATCAATTTGGCTTTTTTATATTTTTTAATGAATCCAGCGAAAGATGATGAAATTGTATTCCACTTGCTCTCTTTATATTCAGGACAAATTTGTATGTTTATTAAATCCAGCACCTATAGTGGCTGCTGGCAGTTTTAAACTTATTGTTAATTAACTTTTCTGCTCAAATTCCTGCAAGCTTGACTCTAGATGATGAGTTATCAGGCTAAACCAATAAATCTTGAAACAATTTCATAAACATTGTTATTTAATCTAAATTGGATTCCCCATCAGTGAAGCCAAATCAGTTCTTTAATGCCACATTATTGCTTACTCAGTGGAATACATTTTCCATTTAAAAATAGCAATATTGTATTTATAGATCATTCCACTGGTTCCAAAATATGTAATGTTTTGATAATCATTTCATATATTTCCTGTAAAAGTATGAGTATAATTTAAACCAGGATGTCTGGAGAGAAATGTTGATCTCCTGTCACTGTATATATGACAGGTATGAAAGGTGTATACAGACTGCTACCTTAAGTAGGACTAACGCTCAGACTTTTTATTTTCTTTTTTTAGAAAGGGAGGGTTAAAGTAAAGAAAGATTATAATGTGTCAGGTTTTTGTTTTGCCAAAGTGAGGGAAATCTCAGGTTATCACTGGGATCACCAGAAACAGTGTCCCCAATGGGATATTTCTCCTCTGTTTTTGTTCTGACTACTCAAAATTTGGGATTTTCTCTCACTTTCACTGTCAGTGAAAACAGTCACCAG